CTCTTGCTCGCGCGTGACCCAGAAAAAGTAAATTTTCTGAAGCGCCATGCGTTTCGGGAGCTGGACGACGCCGCAGTCGGGGCACCGGTGCTCCTCCCACACATGCACGAGATGCTTGAGGATCGACGCGAACGGCGTCACGCCAATGCCGGCGCCAATGAGCACCACGGCGGGGTAGTTGCCGTAGTCCTGCGACGGCGTACCCACGGGGCCGTCGATCGCGATCGCGGGGTAGGGTTGCGTCGTATCTGCGAGTCGATCGTGCAACGCGCCGGTCCAGTCGCCCGCCCGCCGCACGTGGACGCTTAGATACTTGTCTTCCGGGCACGATGAGATCGTGAACGGATGCCACTCAAAGCGCGAGAGGCTCGGTACCTTCAAAAAGAGGTACTACACTCAAACTATCAATCTTTCAAGTCCAAAAGGGAGACAACGCGTACCATGCCCGGCTGAAAGTCGCGAAAGCCACGCGGCTTGTGCATGTAGATGGCGACCGTGTCGGCCGCGATGTGGGCCTTGAGGATACGCGTCGAGCCGCCAAAGACAGCCGAGACGCGGTACCGGCGCTCGATGAGAAACACAAGGAGCGGCCCACCCATCCAGAAATGCGTCTGCGGCGGCGCCATCCAGCCCTGAAGTCCGTGCATCTAGTCGACAGATGCAATCAGATCTCGTGGGTGGAAGACACAAGGGACACATACAAAGAGAAAGACAGTGAACGGCACGAAGAGGCAGTGGCTGAGCCAAAAGAGGTTGAAGTTGGCCCGCCGAATGCGGTGGTGCGTGCACGGGACAGCGAGGAGCGCGCAGAGCAGCATGGCGAGGCCCGTCCAGATCGGAAGCTCGGCCGCAATGTCGAGGAGCGTGCCGTAGCGCAAGAGCCGGGTCTTGTGCTTGTTGAGGATCGAGACGCTCCAGTCGAGGTCCGTGGCTTCGCGGGCGCGGACGACGATGAGCACCCAAGCGGCCGAGTGAACGACCGACGCCAAGAGCAAGACGATGGCCGCGAGCTTGTGAAACGCGATCGTATGGTCGAACGGGACGATCGCCCAGAGCCAGCGCACGTTGCGCAGCGCGGTGACGAGCGACCGGCACATGGGCAGGAGCACGCAGGCCGCGTTGACGAGGACGATCTGGGCCATGGCCTTGGCGAGGCGCGCGAGCTGGCCCGCGATCGGGTCCCACGGAATGGTCGTGATCTTGATCGTGCACGCAATCAAGTTGAGGAGAAAGTACAGGGTCAGAAACTGAACTTCGGTGAAGTGGGCAGCGAGCCAGTCGAGGGTTCCGTCGAGGCGCGACGACGGCGGCCGCGGCGCGATGGGCGTGTCCTTGACAGTCGTTGGCGGCTCGTGGAAGATGGAGCAAAAGTCGCCAAACGTAAGCACGCCGTTGCTGGTCTTGGCAAAGACGCGGTCGAGGACGTCGCCGACGCTGACGCCGCAGAGCGTGACGTGGTGCACCGTCATGGTCGTCTCGAGGAAGGCCGCAATGCCGGCGCGCGTGACAAAGCCCGTCGGTCCACGTCGAGGAGGTCAAAGCGAAGCGCAGCTTGGCGTCGTCCGAGAGCGACGACTGCGTGCACGCTGTGAGGAGCACGGACGCCGCGTACGAGCGCACGTCGCCCGTCTCGAGGTCCACGAGCGAGTCGGCTGGCAGGAAGCGCGCGAGCTGCGCCTGTATCAGCTCGGCGTTGGACGCGATCGTCGACGACGAGTCGAGCGCCGACCGCAGCGTGTACAGGTCGGCCTCGTCCACGCGGGCGAGCGACGGTGGTGATGCGAGCACGGACATGAAGGATGCGCTCGCAATGGCGTCGAATTCAGATCTGCGCATGAGATACGTCACGCCGGCGTTGGCGAGCCGCTGGCGCTTGAGTTGCTCCATTGCCAGCTGCGGGTGCCACCTGGTACCTCTCCGACTCAAAAATGCCTCAAACCCACTAAAAATGGCTGCGAAACTTGTAAAAACTGCTTTTTTCAAAGTGAAATCTCAAGACGCCTGAGATTACTGCCTGCGCGCGGACCGCAGCCTCATACGATGCACCGTGTCGAGTCTTCGTCGTCAGAACGACGGCGAAGGATGCGACGCTTCACGTAGGCTAACGCGCTTGACGAACGTCGAACCTTGGAAGCGCCATCTTGCCGTTCGAGATGGTTCGAATGTGCTTGGTCCCGAGACGCGATCGGCTTGTGGACAGCATTTCGCATCTGGCATCGCAGATCGTCGCCATTTCTCGCTGATATATATCAATGTCAGCTGGCCGCGCAGCAGGCAGCCAGCACCGCATCGCCAGCGCGCCGCCGACACGTCCTCCTGACCCCTTGCAGCGCCGTGTGCACGTTCGACGCGTCCGGGTTAGTTGCACGGTATGTCGTCGTCGGCGACGCCGTTCGTGCAAGGTGCGACTCGCATGTTGACGAAGCATCAGTGGTACAATACATGTACTTTATGACGTGGCAGCGCCAGCGACGAGAAAGAAGGTCAATGTGTTACGTGCTGTGCTTCGGCCAAACCATACGCTGTAAGTTGCAGTGTACTATGAGTAGGTAGGTCGCCGTTCTTACGACGCCAAGCCGGACGGCAGCGACCGCATGTATCGGCGGAGTTCGTACGCGGCTTGCGACGCTGTCGGCCGGCCAGTTGGGTCCATGGCCAAGCACTGCTCGGCAAGCGCGCGCACGGGCGGTGGGCAGTCGTCGCGGAAGGTCGGCGTGAGCTTGCCGGTCGAGACAAGCAGCGCCATTTGCACCGACGACATGGGCTGCGAGGACGATGCGGCTGCGTAAGGCACGTGCCACGTGTCGAGCTCCGAGAGGACGACGCCGAACGAGTAGACGTCGGCCTTTTCGTTGTAGTGGCCGTCGTGAAGGAGAACTTCCGGCGCAGCCCACGCAGTCGTGCCCGTGCCCATTGTCATGGTCTCGTCGATCATCGACCGACTAATACCAAAGTCCCTAGTCCCAGAATATAGTGTCTACTTGTCCACAAGACCAGAGACTCGTACGTGAGTTTGGCGGCGTAGTAGCCGTCGAGGAGGATGTTGCGGGATTTCAGGTCGCGGTGGAGGATCTTGGGCTCAAACGAATGCAGGTACGTGATCGCGTCGATGACGTTGACGGCCATCTGCAGCTTGGAGACGGGAAACGTATCTGACGTGGCCGTCCAGTGCAGCGCTTGGGCCGTCGCGTCGCGCGAGAGCAGCTCGCGGAGGTCGCCGTTGGGCAAAAACTCGGTGATTAGCGCCAAGTCGTGCAATGTCGTCCATGAGACGCCAACGAACGCAACGATGTTGTCGTGGTTGAGCGTTGAAAACATCTTGATCTCGTGCATGAACGCCTGGATGTAGATGGACTGGCGCGCGTGGACGGCCTGGAGCTCCTTTACCGCCACGATTTGGGCTTGAAAGGTCGCCTTGTACACGACGGCAAAGCCGCCGCTGCCGCACACACGCTTGTGCAAGAGCTCCTTCTTGGGAATCCTCGCCGCGTCCAAGTCAATGTCCGACCGCAGGTCATACGAAAACGCCGAGCTCGTCGAGCCACTGCCGGTCGACGAGGCGATAATGTCGTGCTCCTGCTGATTGTGGTGGCGCTCAAACGAGCTGCCTCGCGCCGTCGCGTCGAGAGGCGGTGTCTCCAAGCTGTGGTACGGCTTCTCGCCCGACGATCCGCGGCATCGGCGACGACAGAGCAAGAAGCCGATCAAGGCGAGAAGAACGCCGACGCCAATTCCAATGCCTACGTACATACCCACAGGGGCCTCTACAGGATCGCGTGAGCCTTTCCGAGACAGAAAGATCGGTCAACCACCTTCGCCGCGACCCGACGAAGTGTCGCCACCCGCCACTACCACACAGCAGTGAGGTGAGGCCATGGATGGATGATGCTACTGCTCGTGTCGATGGGAATTGCATCGTCTAGTGACGCAGGGTGGGTCGATGCTTCGCATTATTCAGGCGCGTACCATAGACAACGCACACCGAGTGCACGAGGGCTCGCTGCGTCTCTGCGTCCGGCGCCCCTTTGAACGTGCGGAGCTGGCCGTGGCAGCTCGTCACCACGATGGGCTCGTCCGCTAGAAGGCTCATTTCGCTCAGCGACGTGAACGAGGCTGCGTCGACGTTGAAGGTCGTGATCGGGTTGTCGGCCAGCCACCTAGTAGAGCATATGATTTCCACACCACACCCTTATCATGGGACGAGCTGACAGGGCTCGAAGCGTCGGCGGAATGCGCAGCCGGTCAATTGACGTGATCTTGTTCCTTGACAAGTTTCTAAACGTGTAGAGATGAGCTCAATCCGCTACCGAGTCGATGCTACAGCGTGCGCAGCTTGGATGGGATGACAAACGACGCGTTCACAAAGCCGATGCGGTTGCCCGAGAGGTCGCTACACATGGCGTCATAGTAGAGCGGTTCAACTCCAACGATCGCTACAGGGTCGCGAGCGACGGCGGCCACTGAACCATGTTGAGCGCGCCATCCAGTACATTGCCTTGGAGACTCCTGCGGACGTTGGTTGAGAACTTAGAGGATTTTTTCGCGAGTGTGCTACGTACAAGGACGCGAGCTGCGCGCTCGACGGCACGCTGTCGCCTAGCGACGGGTTCACGCGCCGGACGCCGTCGTCGTCGAGCGTGCTACGCGTCGTATCAGCGATCGCATGGAGAAGTTGATCGTACTAAGCTGCCACTCGGGGTGAGAGCGCGTCCAGAATCTTGAACGGTTCTTTCACCGTGAGGCTGCCATTCGCACTCGGCACCAAGTTCACTTGGCGGTCGTTGGCGTCCACGAGGCAGACGACGACGTTCTTAGCCCCGCCGCACTGCGTCGTGAGCACGCGATCGCCCATGAGAGGTTTCCCGAAACGCTGCCTGCCGCCTGTCCAAAGATACCGTAACCGACGCAATTTAGGAGACAGAACGACGCAATTTTTCAAGCAGTGACACAAATTCGCCTTATGTGGACAATACGGTGGCGCGAAGGAGCTTCCGCAGCGCGAAGGCCACATGAGCTGCTGTCGGTCGATCGTCTGGGTCCATGGCCAGACATTCTTTAGCGAGCGCCAAGATGTCGGAGGGGCAGTCGTCGCGGAAGGTCGGCGTGAGCTTGCCGGTCGAGACAAGCAGCGCCATTTGCACCGACGACATGGGCTGCGACGACGAGGTGGTGGCGTACGGCACTTGCCACGTGTCGAGCTCCGAGAGGACGACGCCGAACGAGTAGACGTCGGCCTTTTCGTTGTAGTGGCCGTCGCTCAGCAGCACCTCGGGCGCCGTCCACGCGGTCGTGCCGGCCTCGCGCGTCATGGTCTCGTCCACGACCAAGCGGCTGATATAATGTCTGCTTGAGCACAAGAGTAGCCAGAATATAATGTCTACTAAGAGTAGAGACTCGTACGTGAGTTTGGCGACGTAGGTGGCATCGAGGAGGATGTTGCGGGATTTCAGGTCGCGGTGGAGGATCTTGGGCTCAAACGAATGCAGGTACGTGATCGCGTCGATGACGTTGACGGCCATCTGCAGCTTGGAGACGGGGAACGTTGAGGACGGCATCGTCCAGTGGAGACTCTGCGTGTCGAGATCCCGCAACAGAAGGTCCCGGAGGTCGCCGTTGGGTAAGAACTCAGTCACAAGTGCCAAGTCGTGCAGGGTCGTCCACGAGACGCCGACAAAACGGACAATGTTGTCATGCTGGAGCGTTGAAAAGAGCTGGATTTCGTGCATGAACGCCTGGACGTGGGTCGCGTGGCGCGTGTGGACGGCCTGGAGCTCCTTGACGGCGACCACTTGGTCTTGGAAGAGCGCTTTGTACACGATCGCAAAGCCGCCGTTGCCGCAAATCTGCTTGTGCAGCAACTCGCGCTTGGGAATCCGGTACCCGTTCAGCTCCGGGTCCGATCGAATGTCGTACGTGTACGCAAACGTGCCGTCCGAGCCTTTCGATGTGGCGATCTCGCGCAGCTGGGACTCTTGAAATTGCTGAAAGGTCGAGCGCAGGTCCGTCGTGCTCGGTGTTGCCAGACCCGAGAGCGGTCGTCGCCGGCGCCGGAGCAGGAGAAACGCGAGAACTGCGACGACGACGGCGGCACCGACACCGATGCCAATGTACGTGGCCGACGAGGCCGAGGACGAGGAGGCTGGCGACGCGGTTCCCGGCGCCGTCGTGCCTTGGTTCACGGCCGTTGGCGCTGTCGTGGTGCTGCTGGCTACACAGGATCGGTTCTTAGAGCTAGGTTCTAAAGGGCAATCGGACTCACCGACAACGCAGATCTTGTGGGTGAGGACCTCCTTCGTCCGGGCGTCGGGGGCGCCTTCATACGTCTGCAGCGAGCCGGCGCACGAGGTTGGTCGAATCGGAACGGTCGAGTAGACTTTGATGTCGCGTAGCGCTGCAAACGACGCTGCGTCGACGTTGAACGTCTCAATGTAGTGGAACGAGAGGTCCCTACGCGGGCGACCTCAGTTTGGTCAGCGACAGCACGACGACATGTACAGGCTTAGCAGCGTCGGCGGAATGCGCCAGCCGTCGATGATCGTGAGGTTGTTGGTCGAGAGCGACCTAGTATGCGATCGTGAGCGGTCATGCAATTGCGCGGAGGCGTACAAAGAGCGGAGCTTGGTGGGCAGCGAGAAGGATCCGTTGACGACCCGCATGTTGTTGCCCGTGAGGTCGCTACCTCCAGCGTGAGCCACAGCCCAAATCCAGGCGTAAAAGGTACAGGTTGGTGAGCGACGCTGGCCACTGGACGACGTTGAGTGCGCTGTCCAGCGCGTTGTAGCGCAGACTCCTACATGACGCTTTGTGAGGACGATGGTCCTCGTCCCAGTCAGGCTACATGGCGGTGAGCTGCGCAGGCGCAGTGAACGCTGGCTCGATGAGCGCGAGTGAGTTGTCCTCGAGGTATCTAGCTAGCACATCAGCAATGCCGAGAGCGGCGGCAACGAACAAGGTGGCGGTGCCGGCCGGCAGCGCGTGCAGGACGTGGACGTCGACGCTCACGTAGAGGCTGGTGGAGCCGCTGCTGAACGTCACGTCGGTCTCGTTGCCAGGCCCGTAGACGACGCAGGCGGGCGCCGCCTTGTTGGCACACGTCGTCGTGAGGGTCCCGACCATGCTCAGCGACTGGTTCGATGCGCGATGCCTGTCCGAGCTAGAGCCCTGTGATTGGTCCTTCTCGAGGGCGTGTCACACCCGAGATTCTGTTTTAAACCATGCTTTCGATACAGCGTTTCGCATGGCTGAAACTCTGTTTTGAACTCTCGATGATGCAAGATCTGGGCACCGACTTCAACGCGGTGCCAGCAGCGCTCTCGCCAGCGCAATGGCAGTCAGAGAACCAACGCTTCGATGATAACACTACACTTTCATTCCGCTTCACACGCTACTCATGGCCTATCTACGCCTTGCGGGCGAAGAAGAGGCCCCACTTCTGGTCGCCTTCTGCGCAGCGCACGAGCTTGGCCTCCCAGCCGTCCACAATGTCCTCGTAGTCGTGCGCCGACGTCTCGGCAATGAACGCGTCCTTGTTGAGGCGCGTCCGGGCCAGCTCCGTCTGCAGCACCTGCACAAAGTGCTCAGTGCGGTCTTCCGCCTCGACGTCGGAAAACCCAACGCTTGCAATCACATGGCCGTACGCCGCCGGCGTCAGCAGGTGGTACCCGCGGCTCGCCACGTACGCCTTGAAGCGGGTCGTTTGCGTCTCTGCCTCGCCGCAGCAGTAGTCCGAGATGAGGAGGCGGCCGCCGGGCTTGAGCCACGTGTAAAACTTGGCGAAGAGCGATTTCTTGTCAGCAATGTGCAAGATCGTGTCGCGCGAGTAGATGACGTCGAACGACGCCGGCGCATACTCCTTGGTGGTCGCGTCGCAAATTTCAAACTCGCAGTCGACGCTTGGGTCGGTCAGCGACGTCTCGAGCGCGCGGTGCACCATGTTGGTCGAGAGGTCGATGCCGACGACGCTGACGCCAAAGGTCTTGGCCATGTAAAAGTCGCCGCCGCCAATGCCGCAGCCGACGTCGAGGACGCGCTCGCCACGCACGAGGCCGAGCTTGGCGACAAACTCGGTCGTCGTGTCTTGGCCGCCCGTGCTGATGTAGCCCGCGCCAAAGATCTTTTCGTACCGCGCAATGCTGCCGCGCGAATACTGCTGCGCGTCCAGGAAGCGCTGGAACGTCTCGGCCGCACCGACCGAGCCCTCCTTGATCACCTTCTTGAAGCGAAAGCAGATCTGACCATTGTTCTTCTTGACGCGACGGTAGACGCCGACCGACGACGACGAGACGAGTTCAAACTGGCTCACGCGGCCGTTGCCTTCGTCAATGACGGCCGATGCAAACGCGCCAACGTAGAAGCTCGGGTGGCGGTACTTGGTCGGGTTGGACGTGCGCTTGACGTCGCCGCTCTGGCGAAAGCACGACTCGCGGAAGAAGACTTCGCCGCCGGGACGGAGCCACTTGAGCGTCTTCTGGGCGAGGCGCGCCACCTCGTCGTCGTCGAGGTACATGAGCAGCCAGTTGGAGAAGATTACGTCAAACGACGACGGCTGGCGCTCCAGATCGCAAACGTCGGCGCACAGAAACGACACGTTGCCGCGGTGGCCGTTGCTCTTCTCGTTGGCCTTGTGGAAGTCCTCAATAAACTCCACAGCCGTGACGCTGGCCGCGGCGTCCGCAATGCGGCCCGTGTAGCGGCCAATGCCGGCTGCCATCTCGAGCACATCCTTGTCTTTGACGTCCGGGAGCTTGGCGAGGATCTCGGGGATCTCGAGTTCGTGGAGCACCTTGGCGTTCGAGTCGAGCATCATCGTCTCGATCGTCGTCTCCTGGCTGTGCTCGGACCAGTAGCTCTTCATGTCGTTGCGCGTCGCAACGGTCGCTTCGTCGAGGCCGGCCATGGTACTGCCTGGGAAAGGGCAAATTCAGAAATGAATCGATCGCCCAACGCTGCAAGAAGATCGCTGAGGCCAATTGACTACGAAGGCGTTAAAGGATGACGCCAAAAGACTCGAAAGCCCCTACGCGCATGCCGGATGGAAGGCAACGACGACGGGGTCTGTCGCGTGCACCTCGCGGATTGGTCGAAATCCATGCAAATCAAACCAGCGACCAATCACAGCGCGAATCACCGTCGCCGTTACCAGAAAGGCCACCTGGCGCGGACACCTACCGCCATCGCGAGCCGCTGACGAATGAGCGCGCGCCACCACGACGGTGGAGACCACGTGGCGCCACGACAGCGAAGCGTGCCGATTTCGAATCCGTCCGCCACTACCCACGGCCACTACGGTATTCTACCATGTACTAAAGCGCTGGAAATTGTACTCGAACTAGCTATAGCCGTTGCGTACTTGGCGCCATTGGCTGGCGGCGAAGAGAAGCCTTCAGGTCGGCCTTGGGGCTTGAAGTGGGCGATGAGATCCCGCCATCTGCTCCAGCTCATTTGACGTGCCGGCGCGTGATTGGCTCGTTTTCAAAAGATCGCCGCCAAGGGCAACACGCGAATGACTCACGTGGTGAAAAACGATTTACACATTCTTGGCACGTGTGTGAAATGACAGTGGATTTTTCACGCCGTGCGTGGTAAATGAGGTGGGAAATCGCACGCCGGCCATGGACACAGCGCTGCAGATGCACCGCGGTTATGACGTGTACAAGTTGTACTTAGTCGAATGTCTACTAGATGGTATCGACTCAAAGTATGTCTGGAGCGAGCTCATCGCCGACCCGCGGAATGCAGTACGTCCATGCTTTTCAATTGGAATCTCTCGCAACTTTGGTTCGAGACAGGCGGTCATTTTCGAAAACGCGACCAGCATGCAAGGCGACCTCGTCCGCGACTGCCAGGACAAGCGCGTGCTCGTGCTCGGGTCTGGAGACGCCGCCCACGACGTGGCCAAGGTGGCGGCCAGCATGACCCGCGTCGCCATCGACGATCCCTCGGCGCTCGCGACCATCGCGCCGGCGTCCGTCGATGTCGTTCTCAGCCATGGCGCGCACCGGTACCTTGACGAGGCTGCTCTCGCCGCCGTGGCGTCCGCAACAATCGCCTGCCTCGTCGAAGGCGGCCTCGTCTACTTTGAGGAGATGTGCTTTGGTGGCGACGACGCCAAGGCTACGTACCGACACCCGCGCGCGTACACGGAAGCGTACGCGTCTGTGTGTCGCCCCGACGGGCCGCTCATGGCGCAGTTTGAGCTGCGAGCGTCGTCGGCTACGCGTACTGCCAACCATGGCATGCACGTGACCTTTGCCTTTGTCAAGGTGCTCAAGCAGGACACGCTGGCGTCCTTCCAGCGCTTCCTGGACGCGCAGCAGTATTCGCGCGGCAGCATTGCGCGGTACGAAAAGATCTTTGGCGCGGGCTACATCAGCACGGGCGGCCAAGACACGACGACCGAGTTTGTCGCCAAGCTCGGCCTCGTGCGTGGCGAGCGCGTCCTCGACGTCGGCTGCGGCATTGGCGGCGGCGACTTTTACATGGCCAAGACCTTTGGCGTCAGCGTCGTCGGCATCGACCTCTCGACCAACATGGTGCACCGCGCGCTCGAGACGTCGCTGACCGACCCAAGCGTCGACTGCGAGTTTGAAATTTGCGACGCGACCACCAAGGAGTATGCGCCGGCGTCGTTCGACGTCATCTACTCGCGCGACACGATCTTGCACATTGCTGACAAGACATCGCTCTTTGCCAAGTTTTACACGTGGCTCAAGCCCGGCGGCCGCCTCCTCATCTCGGACTACTGCTGCGGCGAGGCAGAGACGCAAACGGCCCGCTTCAAGGCGTACGTGGCGAGCCGCGGGTACCACCTGCTGACGCCGGCGGCGTACGGCCAAGTGATTGCGAGCGTTGGGTTTTCGGACGTCGAGGCGGAAGATCGTACGGAGCACTTTGTGCAGGTGCTGCAGACGGAGCTGGCCCGGACGCGCCTCAACAAGGACGCGTTCATTGCCGAGACGTCGGCGCACGACTACGAGGACATTGTGGACGGCTGGGAGGCCAAGCTCGTGCGCTGCGCAGAAGGCGACCAGAAGTGGGGCCTCTTCTTCGCCCGCAAGGCGTAGATTGGCGACAAATCGGAGTGAAATTGTAGTGTGTTGTCCATTGGTCTATGCTGTAGAGCAGCAGCAGCTAGCAGCAGCAGTGGACACGGCAGCTACCCGGCAGCTACCACCTTGATAGAAAGGACCATTCGTTGGACCCAAGTTGCAGCAGGCAACTGGCTTCAGCTGGCGCGATTGCTGTTACACGTGGCATCCTCAGAACGCTTGTCGTTTGTCGAAACTTTGGCGGGCCAATCAGAGGATCGGTCGCAGTAATCGTCCCCTCATTGACGAACAACGCGATCGACCATGTCCCTCACGACGACGTGTGCCAACAAGATGGCGGCCGCCTGCGTCGTCTACGGGCCTGGCAACGAGACCGACCTGAGCCTCGACAGCCGCGGCCGCCTCAACGTCGACGCGCCGGTGACGTCGATCGAGTCTCTCCCGCCGTCCGCGACCGCCCTGTACGTCCTGGCGCTTTCTCCGTCGCTTGGACTCACGCACTGCAGCTTGATTGCGTCTAGCACGCTCGCATTTATCAACCCGGCGCTCGGCAGCACCATGGGCGCCGCCTCGCAGCTCGCATCCATGTACCCTGCGCGGACTCTGCGACGATGCGCCTAATGTGAAACATCCCCTAGCTCCGTCCGCTTCAACCGCCTCGGCGAGTCGCTCAACGCTGTCCAGTGGCCGCAGTCCCTCTCCGTGCTGTACGAGGCTGCTTCCACGGATCATGGCACTAACGCAGGTGTAGCGATCTCACGGGCAACAAGATGGGTCAAATCAACGCGTCTTTTTCAATCCCCGCCAAGCTCCGAGCCTTGTAGACCGCTCTTCTGGTAGCACAAGTGGCCAACAATTTTGTGGTAGAGTCCTCAGCTCCAACCAAATCACCAGCATCGACGGCCTCGTCATTCCGTCGTCGCTGCAGAGCCTGTACGAACGATCGTCGCGTTGACATGAAATGAAAGAGAGTAGGAGCCTCTACGTCAACACGATCGACACGTTCAACATCAACGCCGCGTCGTTCGCGGCGCTGTCGCAAGTGCAGCTCTTCACCGATCGAGCGATTCGCGCGCTCGAGTGCAAGGGCACGCGCCAGACGTTCCAGGGAGCCGTTGACCCCGACGTCAACGGCGGCCGACCGCTTCTGCACACTGCCTGCGTTCTCGGTACGACTCTACTGATATGGCGACTTGCATGAAGGATGCATCGTAGATGCCAGTGCAGCGGCGCGCCCGGTACGACGCCTCCCCTACCCCTTGCGCTCACCACCGCTAGGTCCCGCCACGGCCGATGCCTCCAGTGCCGGTAGGTGCAATCGCGCGTCGCACTCAGCCTCACGCAACCGTAGACTCGGGTGCGTCAACCGGTCTCTACGCTGGCGTTGGCATCGGCGCCGCCGTGCTGATCCTTCTCCTCGTCGGTGGGCTGCTGCGTCTGCGCCAACGCCGCCGCCCCGACGCCCACTACCTCGACCATACGACGCCGTCGACCGACATATCTCGCAAGCCGAACCCTGCAACTGAGACGCCCGCCGTCGTCAATGACGGCACGTTTGCGTACACGTACGACATTCGATCGGACCCGGAGCTGAACGGGTACCGGATTCCCAAGCGCGAGTTGCTGCAAAAGCAGATTTGCGGCAACGGCGGCTTTGCGATCGTGTACAAAGCGCTCTTCCAAGACCAAGTGGTCGCCGTCAAGGAGCTCCAGGCCGTCCACACGCGCCACGCGACCCACGTCCAGGCGTTCATGCACGAAATCCAGCTCTTTTCAACGCTTCAGCATGACAACATTGTGCGTTTTGTCGGCGTCTCGTGGACGACCCTGCACGACTTGGCACTTGTGACCGAGTTCTTACCCAACGGCGACCTCCGGGACCTTCTGTTGCGGGATCTCGACACGCAGAGTCTCCACTGGACGATGCCGTCAGATACGTTCCCCGTCTCCAAGCTGCAGATGGCCGTCAACGTCATCGACGCTATCACGTACCTGCATTCGTTTGAGCCCAAGATCCTCCACCGCGACCTGAAATCCCGCAACATCCTCCTCGATGCCACCTACGTCGCCAAACTCACGTACGAGTCTCTACTCTTGTGCGCAAGCAGATACTAAATTCTGGGACTAGGGACTTTGGCATCAGCCGCTTGGTCGTGGACGAGACCATGACGCGCGAGGCCGGCACGACTGCGTGGACGGCGCCCGAGGTGCTGCTGAGCGACGGCCACTACAACGAAAAGGCCGACGTCTACTCGTTCGGCGTCGTCCTCTCGGAGCTCGACACGTGGCAAGTGCCGTACGCCACCTCCTCGTCCTCGCAGCCCATGTCGTCGGTGCAAATGGCGCTGCTCGTCTCGACCGGCAAGCTCACGCCGACCTTCCGCGACGATTGCCCCTCTGACATCTTGGCGCTCGCGAAAGACTGTCTGGCCATGGACCCAGACGATCGACCGACAGCAGCCCATGTGGCCTACGCGCTGCGCAAGCTAGTCCGCCAAGCGCCATAGAGCAACCAAGCAGCGTCGAAAAAGGAGGATATAATGTTAGAAAAAGCGCAGTTAGCACACGTCTTCCTGCATTGACGCGTAGTGGTCGCCGCCTGTCGTTGCTGCTGTCGTTGGCTTCACGGGCTTGAACATGCGCTGGGCCTGGGCAAAGGTGAACTCTGTCTTGAGGCCGCTCCCTGAACGCAGCGCCGGCTGGATGTACATGCTGTTGTCGCGGTGTTGCTCGGCGGGCGCGCGGACGAACTGGCTGCTCGTGCGCACCGAGTCGATGCGGTAGCAGTCGACCAGCGGGAGGAAGGTTGATGCGCGCGGGTACAAGTCCCGCACACGGTGGTCGACAATGTACGTCAAGAGCGGCAGACACGTCACGACGATCGACGGCGCCATCGCGAACCAGTAGGCATACTGCTCAAAGACCGACACGCTTTTGGTTGTCTTGCTCATATCGCGCACCTCGACCCGGTTGGTCCACGCGTCCGAGACCTTGACCCACATGAGTGCAATCAAAATGAGCTGTGCCATGTACCTAGAGCCGATAAGTTCTCATTTGGAAAGAAGAAAGAAAGAGGTCGTACAGGGCACGGACGATGCACTTGTACATGGCGGGCCAGTAGACGCCCGTCGTGAACCGACCGGGTGCGTAGACGAAGAAGAAGAGCCGGCGGTAGACCACGTCCGAGACAAGAACAAGAGACCGCCAAAGTACCCGATAAGCGGCGTCATCGGGCAAAACACCAGCACGAGCAGCAAGACGAGAAAGTACGACGGCAGAATCGTGCTCTGGCTGCACGTCTCGATCGCCGACATGGGCGATAGCCACTTCCACGGCGACCGGCGCTCGCGGGGCGTCAATCGCGGCGCAAAGCAGTAGTAGAGGAACCCACGCAGGAACGACCCGACGCGGAAGAGCTTGCAGGGCAGCACGAGTCCCGTGAGGATCGTCATGATCGAAATGTACAGCGATGCTTGCAGCGACAGCGCTTCGCTAAAGATGGTCACAAAGAGGTACGGCGAGTCGATGAGCACGGGCAAGAGCGAGTTGAGCGAGCCGGAGAGGAGCGCGACGACAAACGTCTGGACAAACTGAAAGCTCACGAGCTTGGAAAAGGTCGACGCGTCCACTTCCGTCTGCGAGGCCAAGCCCTCGCGCTTCGAGAGCGCGCCAAAGATATACGGCGCGAGGCCGCTGAGTGCCACGAGTCCGAGCGGCGCCATCTGCTTGCAAAAGTCCACGAGCCACGGGTGGTCGTGCAGCGTCTGGTCGACCGACGTGTACTGGTCGCGCCACTGGTCCATGGACGCGAGCGTCGTGACAAAGACCGTGGGAACCGACCACAGCACAAGGATCACCAAGGTCGCTAGCGTCGACACGAGCTGCCACGAGCTAAGGCTGTTGAGTGTCCGGCCGAGGTTGTCCCAAAGAATGTCGGCCGGGTCCGGCGCCGGCCGCACGAGCATCTCGGACGGCGTGTCGGTCTGCAGCATCTGCAGCGCGCTCTGCGTCGCTTGGAGCGTATTGAACGTCACAAAGGCCGACGGACGCATGAACGACAGCATCGTCGCGATCGGGATTGCATCGTTGTTCTCCGGCGCCTTGTACTCGTCGTCGTGGTCGTTCTCGTCGTCTTGTCCTCGTCGTCCTCGTTGTTCGAGTCGTGCATGGACGAGACGCACAGCGCGTCTTCGAGACTCTCCTCGTTCATGACCTCGTGCAGCTTGGCTTGGTAGCCTCGCAGCGTCTCGATCTCGGTGCGAATGCTAATGTTGAGCTTCTCGAGCAGCTGACTCCAGTGGTCAATGGCGTCGACCTGGCCCCGCTTGAAGGACGTCGTTGGCCGATGGCCTGTCTGGACGGCGGTCACCATCGCGCGCTCGAGGTCGCCGCGGACGCGCTCGCGCTTGGCGACCTGCGCCTCGAGCTCCCGGCACTCCATCGCCATGTGCACCGAGTCGACCATAGTCGGGAAGAGCTTGTGGAGGTACTTGGTGAGCGCCTCGTGGGTGCGCAGCTGCTGCGGAAGGTCGTTCATGATGACCGTGTACTGCTGGAGCCCGTCGCGGCCGAGGAATTCGTGGCGCCGAGAGACGTAGACCTTGTACTCGGCCACGAGCAATCGAAGCGTGTAGATGGTGATGAGAAACCCGGCAGCGACCGGCGCCCAGAGGCGGTTCGGGTCCAAGCTCACGTTCATGTTGGCCATGGCCAGGCGCGCGACCATGTCCTGCGCGGTCGTCTCGTTGAGCGACTCGCCGTCGGGTCGGATGGCGCTTGCATAAATGGGCATGAGCCCAAACGAGAGCAGGATCGAGGCGCCGGCAATGTTGCGGCCGAGGCGCAGGAAGCGAAGGTAGCAGAGTGCGTCGAGGCCGCAGAACTCCATGATCTCGTCGTCCGTCGCGCGTAGCACGGGCGCGATCCAGCCGCCAAAGCCATAGACCTGCTCCGCCAGCGGGCACGAGGCCTTGGGGTCCGTCCCCCGGCAGTTGAAGTAGACAAGCAGGCGCGGCCGCAGCAGCTCAAAGGCCACGAAGCCAAGCACGAGGAGCGACAAGTAGACCTCGATCGAGAGCAAGATGGATGCGTCTGGGTCCGTGTCGACGTGGTGGCTAGCCATGGTGGTTCTGCCAAGAAACGTTTGGCATCCGGAGGTTACACACACTCCGGCAGCCAACGTCACGGTGGCCGGATAAACCTCCCGAACTCTATACTTTTCGGTATGCAATATAAGAGGTGAAACAGAAAACTGGGACGAAGCAGGTTGAAGTCGGGCAACATCTCCTCCCAGGAACAAGTGGATGGATGGTCGGAGTACGTGGCGCTTGCTGCGTCTTGCTGCAAGCAGTATTGCTAGGCGTGTGTGCTGCAATCAGCGCACCAGTGGTATTGAACCGGCGGCCTTTTCAACGCGGGTGTCACTCGATGCGAATCGCACCCAAGCCCCCATTGCCGCTCGGTGAAAGTGCCATGATGATGATGCTAGAGTCAACGTCGTGGCGGTCATGCTTGTATCCTGTGTTGACTTGCAGGAAGATGGGCACCGACACACAGACAAGCAAGTGCCTTGGCGGCGGTGAGGCGACTTTGAGAAGCCGACACGGCGCATGTGCAGCTTCTGGCGCGACCTGAGTTGCGTGACCAACGCAGGCGTAATGACCAACTGCGTCGATTTCTAGCTCGCCGGTTGAGATTCGCTGCTTCACAAACACACGCGATTCGGCACAAAGCGACAGCATATCGGCTACCGCATCGGTTTCTCTGCGGCCGCGCTGCCACGTGTCTTGCTCTTCGATCGCCCGTTGACCTTCAAGCGTACTGCAACGTCCCGCCCGGCTATGCCCCAGAAGAATGGCGACAACCTGCCTAGCACGATGATCTTTGGCGCTCACCACCACCCTTTGTATCTCGATAGTTCCTGACTCACTTGCTTTTTTCCCTTGCCGGAGGCGTTCTCACGTCGTGTTCTCGCATCTGACCAAGTAGCCGCGACGTTGTATCCGCGGAAAATTGCCGCAAATTGCGTCCCGTTCGTGGGCTCGAAGTGGCGCTGCATGAAAGCGGTCGTCAGCGCTGGAGTCCAAGGCCCGTCGTCCATCCAATCATCCTGCAAGTGGACGGCTGTCGATTGCGGCGGATGACGCTCTTGCGTCGTTGGCGCCAACTTCGATCCGGCGCTTTGTCGGAGCCTTGGGCGAGGCGCATACTGGGTACCATGCACTTGATACACGATCGACCATGCAAGGCAAGTGCTGCTTCTCATCCCATGGAAGAGCGCTCTTAGCGCGCCTGCATCACGGACAGCCTTCTCGCGCTTCTTCCACCGCCTTCTCGCCACGTGTACTGTTGGCATAGACGACGCGCCTCATTACACTGTAAGTCGGATCCTCCCAAGCCACGACCGACGACGACGCTCGTGGCTGGCGACGAGCGGTAAACACCCCAAAATTACACTGTATTATTGTACACTGTATATCTCGACTCGCTGGGGATTTCGTATCGGATGCAGAGGAGGTCGACGTGCTCTCGGCGTCTGTGCAGAGGTAGCCAAACGATCGACTCCCTGTTTTTGCTGCGGCGACTGCGGCGCGGCAGCGGCCACAAAAAAGGCCGCCGACCAAGATACTTCGAACTTCGGTTTGCACACCCACGAACTGGCCCGACGCGCTGGCAGCCCATGTGTCATTCTCCATCTCTTCCTCCGCGCACGCATGGCGACGACGACGCTGCTCAAGCTCACGACCAAGGGCCATCACGGCCTGTATACCTCCGAGGCCAAGAAGCCGCGGAGCCCGTCGGCCAAGGCCAAGGCTGACCTCGGCGACAAGGACGACGCGCTGCGCATGGGTCGGGCGGTGTGTATCATCGAGACAGCAGCCCCGGCTGGTGCTGCGACCCAAGCCACTGATCATGGCCCCACCCCACGACGACCATTGTGTTACTCGCCCCGAATCACCCATCTTGGTGCCCTCAATGTCGCTCTCGCCACTCCCGCCCAAGCAACGCCGCACTGCCTCGACTGTGGACGGTACGCGCCGCCTCCCTGCGCGCTCATGGCTACGTCTTCTTCTAGATGACGCGCTCCAGTGCCACGACAACAACCCGGAAGACTGTCCCGAACTCACCGTGACGCCCAACGAAGCTTACAACCGGCTCCTCAAGCAGGTCGAGGCCTCCACCGCCGCCTTGGCCGACGCGCAGACGCAGCTCCTGGCCAAAGACGAGGCGATCGCAGCGCTGCAGACTGCGCAGGTGGCGTCCGAGGCGTCGGTCGCCCGCCTCGAGGCCGAGACGCAGCAGCTCCAAGCCAAGTACCAGTGCGAGGCCAAGCTGCGCATGCAGATCCTGCTCGAGCACTCGAAGCTGCAGCTGCGCTGGCAAGAGGCGCAGGCCAAGGCGATCGAGCTCGATGCGGTCAAGACGGAGCTCTCGGCGCAGGAAAAGCGGTTCCAGGACAAGCTCGAGCACGAGAGGCGCGTCGCGCGCATCGAGCTCAAGGCCGCGCACAGCAAGATCAACTCGCTGCATCAGACGATTCTGGAAATGGAGTACGAGAGCGTCCGGAAGGAGCAGACCAAGCACGACGGCCCGAGCCAGAGCGCGCAGTCGCGCCACATCCAGCAAGAGCTCATGGGTCTCCAGCGCCAGCGCTGCGTCTCGCAGAGCAAGTGGCTCTTTGAAGGCGATACCGACCACGTCGAGTCGCCGCGCCGGACCAAGGCGGACTCCAAGCCCAAGAAGCGCGACGAAGTGAACTACCTCTTCGACATTGCGGAGCAGCTGCTCATCTTCTCCAAGGACAGCCACCTCAACGCGCTCACGACCCTCGAGGGGTTTGAGGACGCGCTCGAGAAGAAGAAGGCCGGCGGCGACCACTCGACGCCGCCGACGTCCCACGCCGCCGCCTTTGACCTCGCTGCGTGCGAAGCAATAGCTGACGAAGCCGAAGCGCTTCTCGCGCAGTATTTATTCCAGCTCCCGTAACCTAAGCTACATGTCTTTGTCTTCGTAATCGGTGTAGAGGGCCACGAGGCTGCTGCTGCTGCTCTCGGACGCGATTCCTTCGCCTCGAGGTCGCGCCGATCCGAGCTCGGCGTAGTCGGCTCTCAGCGGCGGTCGCGCCAACAGCGCTGGCTGCACGTACGTCGTCGTCGGGAAGGTCGCGCCAGGCGATCGGAGCACATCGAGGCGGCAGCACTCGAGGAGCGGCAAGTTGGCGGCCGTGCGCGGGTACAATGCGACAACGTGGAGGTGGAAGAGCAGCGTGAGGACGGGCAGTAGGAGCGCTGCTGTCGCGGGGCCCGGCGCCTGCTTAAGCGAGAGCACGCCGAGGAGCGTGCTCTGCGCAACCACCAGCGCCGTCATGACGAACGTGTACAAGTGCGGCCAGTACGCACCGGTCGTGTGCACGTTGGGGTCGTACACAAAGAGCAGCTGGCGGCGGTATACAACCTCGCTCAAGGTGAAGAAGAGCGCGCCAAAGTACGCCATGAGCGGCGACATGGGCGAGAAGGTGAGCGTGAGCAGCACGGCTTGGTAGTAGTCGGGCAGGAGCATCGCGTACTGCAGCTCGCCGGGCTCGTGCAGCGGGCGAAGGCCGTACCACGCCATGCTGCGCTCGCGCCTTGTGAGCTGCGGCGCGCAGAGCAGGTAGAGTCGCGAGAGAAGGTACGGGACGACGCGGAGGAGCTCGAGCGAGAGGCTCAGGCCCGTCTTGATGATGAGGAAGCTCATGAAGGACGAGGCTTGGCGGGAATGCTGCGTCCGAGGAGGTTGATGATGCTCGACGGACTGTCGAGGATCGCGCGGATGTTGTCGAGGATCGTGAGGAACGAGCCGAAGAAGACCGAGACGAAGAAGATTTGGATGAACTGAAAGTACCCGAGCTTGATGAAGAGCGACGCGTCGATCGCGGCCGTCGACGCATGGCCTTCGCGCTTTGAGAGCAGCGAGAAGACGACCGGCGCGATCGCCGTCATGGCCACGAGGCCCAGCGGCGCGAACTGCTGGAACGCATGCAGCAGCCACGCATGCTTGGCGAACGCGTCGTCGAGGGATGGCCAGACCTGCCGGAGGTTCTCGACTTTGGCAAAGGACGCGACGATGGCCGTCGGGATCGTCCAGAACACCACGATCGCGGTCGTGACGAGCACGGAGACGTACTGCCACGTGCTGCGCACCTGGCGCGAGACGCCAATGTTCTCCCAGACCACGTCCGACGGCGCAGGCGCGGCCTCGACCCGCATCGTCGTCGGCGTCTCGGTCTGGAGCAGCTGCTGCGCAATGTGCGCGCTCTGGAGCGACGAAAACGTCACGAACGCTGAGTGCCGCATGATCTTGAGCAGCGTGCGCGTCTGCTTGGTCGACTGCGACGGCTGCGTCCACTCGGCGTGGTACTCGATCAAGCTCTCGCGCAACCTGCTCGCGTCTTCGTCGTCGTCGTCTAAGGACGGTCAGTTGACGGCAACCGGCGCGGGAGTCGTACCGTAGTGGTGGTCCGAGACACACGCCGCGTCCGTCAGCGTCTCGTCCGTCATGGCCGCGTACAGCACGCGCTGCTTCTCCTCGATCGCGTCAATCTCGATCGGAATCACCTCGTTGCGGCTCTTGAGCTTGCGTTCAAAGTACTCGATCGCATCGACGGCCGTGCCCCGGGTCTTGACAATGTGCAGCGGCCGGTCGCCACTCGTCGCGCTCTCGGCGAGCGCATGTTCGAGCTTCATGCGGAAGAGCTCGCGCGACGCGACGAGCGCTTCGATGTGGCCGCACTCGACCGAGAGAACGACGGCTTGCAGCGACGTGGGGAAGAGGTACTTCAAGTACTTGGTCAACGCCTCGCGCGTGCGGAGCGACCGCGGCAGGTCGTTGATGACGACCGAGTACTGCTGCACGTCGGGCTTGCTCAAGAAGGCGTGGCGCCGGCGCACAAAGGCCTTGTACTCGGCCAAGAGCAAGAGCAAGTGCATCGTGTAGAACGAGAGCACGTACATGCTCAGCAGCGACGCCCTAAGAACGAATCGCGGGATAAGAAGACATAAGAAGTGAGCTACCAGAGCCGCGGGTCGCCGGGCTTGAGGCCCGTGATGCCTTCGCGGTCCAGCATGTCCAAGGTCGACGAGGTCCAGTCGGCCGTCGCGTACACCGGAAGCAGCACGATCGAGAGGATAATGCCGCAGCACGCGAGCTTGCGCCCGAGGCGCAGAAAGCGCAGCAGCACAAGCGCGTCGAGGCCGCAGAGCTCGACGATTGCGTCGTCCGAAACCTTCATGACCGGCAGCACCCACCGCAGAAAGCCAAACGATGCACTCGACAAGGTCGACGCCGTGCGGGCAGCGCGCCGGCGGCAGGCAAACGCAACTGGGTGCGGGCGCCGGAGCAGCTCAAACGCGATGACACTTACGAGCAGCATCGGGAGGTAGATCTGCATGCTCGTGACGATCGCGAGGCTCGGCGACGCCGCCTCGTCGCTGCTGCCCGACGACGACATGCTCTTAAACGGCCTTTCCGAAACCGTATCCCCTACCCCTCTTGCGCCGCTCCACGAAAAAAGTATCAATGTATCAAGGATTAGGTATGTGTGTACGCAACGTCTGTACTATGCACGGCACGGACGGTAGCAAGCTTGATCAGGCTACAGCTAGATGTGGAATCCAAATTTCTTGGCTTCGGCGTCAGTGGGCTCACCTTGGTGCATCTTGGACTTGGCCGCGTCGACCTCGACCATATCCAGGTCGTCGCGCGTCTGGAGCTCCATGTAGTCGGGCTTGAGTGGCTCCGACTCGTCGAGGGCCGGCTGGACGAACGCGCTGGAAATGTCCACGTGCGCGCGGTGGGCGCGGGCCTTGTCGAGGCGGGCGCACGAGAGGAGCGGCAGGTTCAGCGCCGGGCGCGGGTACAGCTGCTGCGCGTACACGTGGTACAAGACGGACGTGAACGGCAGCACGGTCGCGGCCACGATCGGGCCCGGACTCACTTTCAGCGTCATGAGCCCGAGGAACGTGATTTGCGCGAGGACGACCGCGCCGACAAGGAACGAGTGCAGCTGCGGCCAGTACGCGCCCGTCGAGTGGGGCGACGGGGCGTAGACGTACAGCACCTGCCGGCGGTACACGAGCTCCGCAAGCCCAAAGTAGAGCAGCGCAAAGTACGAGAGAAGCGGCGCGATCGCGCAAAAGGTCACAACGAGGAGGATGCCGAGGAGGTAGTCGGCGACCGCGCCGCCGCCGTCAAAGTTGCCGGCGATCGTGACGGGCACGAGGCCAAAGAACGGGCTCGATCGCTCGCGGGCCGTGAGCTTGGGCGCAAATGTGTTGTAGATGAAGCCGAGGATCCACGGCATGACGCGGAGGATCTCCAAGCTCAGGTCGAGGCCCGTCTTGACGATGAGGTACGACATGAAGAGCGTCGACTGCGCCGGGATCGTCGAGCCGAGGAGCGACACGAGGAGGCTCGGGTCCTTGAGCACGAGCGTGACGCTCGAGACGAGCGAGCCCGCAATCACCGACACGAAGAAGGTCTGGAACATCTGAAAGTACACGAGCTTGGCAAACGTCGAGGCACGGACGAGCGCGCCGGACGGGTGGCCTTCGCGCTTCGACATGATCGTCATGATGATCGGGGCGAGCGCGCCCATAACGGCAAGGCCGATGGGCGAGAGCTGCTTGAAGAACTCCGTGAGCCACGGGTGCTTGGTGAGGAGGTCCTTGATCGACGGGTACTTCTCCTCGAGCGTCTCGATCGTCGAGAAGGCCACCACGATCGTGGTCGGGATCGTCCAAAACAGGATGATCGCTGTCGAAATCACCTACAAATCCCAAAAAGACGTTGAAATACGCGTGAAAATGAAGAAAATACCGTCGAGATGAAGCGCCACGAGTCCTTCTCCTGGCGGGTCCGACCAATGTTTTCCCAGCAAATGTCTTCGGGCGACGGCGCGGCCGCGACTTCCATCTCGAAAATCTTCTCCGTCTGCAGCATCTGCTGGCACGTCTGCGCGGTTTGGAGCGACCGGAAGGTCACAAAGGCCGACCGACGCATAATCGACTTCTCAACGAGCTTGGCGTTCGCGACCGGCGCGTCCTGGGTCACGGCGAACGCTGCCTTCTCGTAGCCCTCGACGAGGAGCTTGTCGCGCACCTCGTGCTGCGCATCGAGGATCTTCGTGTACTCGTCCTTCACGGCTTGGTTGAGCGTCGCGAGCTGCTCCGTAAAGTAGTCGATCGCATCGACCGACTGCATCGGCGCCTTCTTCATCGAGAGGTCCTTCACGCGATACGTCGGCCGCTCGCCCGTCGTGGCCGAGAGAGCCATGTAGTGCTCGAGGTCGTTACGCGCCTTCACGCGCTGGGCGACGAGGCCTTCAAGGTCGCCGCACTCGACGGCGACCGAGACCGCGAGCACATCATCGGGGAAGAGGTAGTCCATGTAGTACTTGAGCGTCTCGTTCGTGCGCAGACTCGGCGGCAGGTCGTGGATGACCACCTACGAGCACGTGAGCCTCCATGTTGCGCTGAAATGCGAAGCGTACCGCGTACTGCTGCGGGTCGTCGCGACTGAGGTACTCGTGGCGACGCACAATGTAGTAGCGGTACTCGGCCGAGAAGAGGTAGAGCGCGTAGAAGGACATGGCGTACATGGCCACGATGCTCGCCCAGAGCCGGCTCTCGCCCTGGTCCAAGTTGGACATGGTGATGCGCTCGAGCACGTCAATTTCGGTGCGGTTGCCGCGCGGAAACTCGGCGGGGTTCGTGCCCGTGGCATAGACGGGGAAGAGCATTGCGCTCAGAAAGATGCCAAAGGCCGCGAGCTTCCGGCCCATGGCCAGCACGCGCAGAAAGATGAGCGTGTCGAGGCCGCAAAACTCCATAATGTCGTCGTCGCCCGTCCGCCACGCGGGCAGGATCCAGCCAAAGAGCGTCATCGAGTCGGGCACGGGCGACGCCGTCTCGAGGCTCTGGTTGCGGCAGGCGTACACGTGCTGCAGCCGGCGCTGGAGGTTGAGGAACACCACCCAGGCGATGGCGGCGATGACAAAGTAGAGGCTCATGGACGTCTGCAGCGTCGCCGACGGGTTGATGTCGGGCGCTGGCGCGCTCGTGTTGAGCTCGGCCATGCTGCGGCTTCGTGCTAAATCGGCGATTGGCAACGGCGCTTGTGGATCCCGGAAACGAACGGGCTCCGGAACCATCCGGATAATTGCCCCATAGCGTAAGTATCGCTTCCCACGCAGCATCTGCCGGCCTGTCGCTGGCTCTGCCTTGATCGTGCATCGCTCGAGTCTTCCTCGACGCTGCGTTCAAGCTCGGGGTATTAATTGTTAAGTGGGCTGGCAGCTAGTGATGGAATAGTACACGGTACGCCGGCGGCTGAGAACGTCGGTCGCACGGAAAGAAGGTGGTCGAGCAGAGGTGGAGTCGCGGCTTGTGCCATCTTTCTCGCAGTGTCCCATTTACTGCAAGTGTATTCAATGGACAGGTGCCATGCTGCTGCTGCTGCTGCTGTGAGCTCAATTGCCCAGCGCACGCAGTGACTATAGTGTACGTGGTAGGAAGGAATGGGAGGAAGAACGTGGTGTCGTGATGGCTACTTTTAGCGTAGCGACGCCGGCGCGTGCGCTTAGAGCCGTCCGTTCCGTAGGGTCGTCCAATTCAGTGGGACCACGTGGGTTGCCATGCGGCTCGCGACATCAGCGCAGAGTCATCACACGCGCAAGGTGGTTGGTGGAGCATATTCAGCCCCTTTTTTCGCGCAGAGGAAGCGATTCGGTAACGTTAAGTGAAGCAGAAGGAGCTCGTCCCTCGACTTGCAGATATATGGCAAAGATCCATGAAGAGCGTACTTGGAGGTGGTTGTCGACAAGCTCATCGACGATGTCCTCTTTGACGCGCTACTCGTCACCTCTGCGAGTCTTTGGTACATCGACGCCGCCCGTGTGGCTGGTATTGGTTTTGATACCATGCTTTGTACTAGGGCGCAAGGAGCGATGAGCGACCGGCAATGACGTTCGTTGAGGTTCTCTGTGCCCTCGCGTGGCCAGTGGTCCTGGCTTTCCCATCCCTGCAACAACAACTGAACCCAAAAGATGCCGACGAGGCTTGACGCGTCCAGCGCGACGGCTCTCTTGCAGGTTAGTTAGTTGTTAGTTAGTTGGTTGAAGAAGCTCGTTAGTCAAAGTGTAAGAAGGTAAATGCCCCTCGAGGGTTCGCGGAGAGGATCGGCGGTGCTTGCCTCAAGTCGGAGTTCAAGCTGCCTTTCTCACCCGCTTTTATACTACCATTTGGCTACCACATACAAGAATCCAGTGTAAGCTGTCGCCATGGACTTTTTAATGCCCGGAATCTGTGTTTTATTCTAGATTAATACTAAACGCAAGTGAAAGAAAAAACCACGAAAATAAATTGGTTTAAAATAGCTCCTACCAGTGAATCGGTCATTTGGCGCTTGCCGGGCTCGACGACCACCATGTCCCTCGGCAACATGGACGCGTTCCTCTTCGAAGACGGCTGCATGGACGACAGCCTCGCCCTCGGGCTCATGAAGGACGACGAGCTCGACCGCGTCTTCCTCGACGCCAAGGACGTCCTCGACCTCGCGCCCACGACCAAGCGCAAGCTCGACGAGACCGAGCCCGACAAGGAGACGGCGCGGAAGAACGCCAAGCGCGAGGCCTACAAGAAGCACATCCGCAAGCGCCAGAACGAACATGCAGAGCTCAAGCAGCAGGTCCAGGAGCTCGAGGACCAACTCCAGTTCCTCTCCAACATGAAGGCTATTGACGCGACGTTTGCGTCCAACTGGGAGAACATTGCGCGGGACCTCGCGTCGCACCGCCAAGAGTCGGCCGCCGAGAACGAAAAGCTCCGGCAGAAAGTCGCCGAGCAGAGCGAGTTCATTGAGACGCTCCAGACGCTCCTCGCCAAGCGCCCGCGCCTCGCCGTACGTCGTCTACCTTTCGCTCGTCATGCTCATCGACTGCCTAGGTGTTTGAGAACGACGAGTGGAAGGCCCTCCGGCTCGTGGCCGACCCGTCCAAGCGCATCCATGGCATGAACGCGCTCCTGCACCGCCAGCGCCAGATGCTCACGGGCGTGTTCCTTCAATGCGGCCTCCTCGAGCCGCACGACGACGACATCCACAAGGTCAACGTCTGCTCGGACATCACCAAGATGCTCATCAGCGAGAGCGTCCGCTTTGTGCG